TATAGCTAGGGCTTTCCACAGAAGGGCTTTTATTTCCAATTTTGTTGGTGGAAAACCACCATTACTTTGAATTTTTTATTGTACATGCTTTCCTGACTGTGTTTCAATTCCAAATCAAAATCAATTCCTGGGCTTCAGTCATTTATTGTCTATTTATCAATTAAAATACGTTTCGGTGTTTTCCACCATCATCAGTTTCTATGTGTAGCGTTGTTGCTACTTTAAGCCTTGGCTTACGCCTTGGCCAAGGCTTAAAGTAGATAAATAGACAATAAATGACTGAAGCCCAGGAATTGATTTTGATTTATCAATAATAACAATAATTTGTCAACCTGCGACTTACTTTGAAACTCCTTTCACAAATTTACCAATGGATTACTGTACACCGGTACAAATTGAACGGGAGTTGATTATCCAAGTACGAGAAGTTGTTCAATAACAGTGGATATTAAGGAGATTACAGAGCCACTAACTTGTTTCGACTTCATGACTCAAATGTATTTTTATTTGTCACAATTTTGATTTTGATTTGAATTTTATGTTAGGTTCAATTGTTATGCTGCAATTGCTTGCTCTACTGGGATGTTGAAGCTACAAAGGGTTGATCTGTTTAAACAGAACTCAACTATGCGACGAAGAAACCTTATCCAACTAGAAACTTTCTGGAATTCTACTGACTGATCTCACTTATCTTAAAATCCTTAGTTTGCGAGACCAGGAAATTAAGTGCAAACTGAAACTTAAAAAAACTGCCTTTGGAAATGAACAATATATGTATGTGTAGCAGTCTTAGTTTAATGGAATCGTAAAAAATTTCAATTTCTGCAATTCGCGAGCTACAGTTTGGCATCGTCGGTTTGAGATGTTATTTTGGATTAGTCGAGGTCGGTACGATACTCAATACGTACAGTTTTGTCATTGATAGCCGCAAAAAATGATAAAAACGCATTTAAAAAATACCTACAATGGGCCAAACGGGCCGCGAAACTAGTGTAGAATTGCGCACGATTCTGGCCCTTCTTAACGGCGGGAGATTCAAAAGTGTTTTTCTAGCGACAGGAGTATTTTGCATCAAAGTGTGACTGGTGCAGTGACGAAATAAAAAAGTATTTTCCATTAGTGTTACGCTATTTTTGAGTGCGGATTAGCGATGTGTTGATGTTGAAATGTTTCGTTGGATGATAGATAGCTAAGACTTTATTTCAACGTCTCCAAAAGGATTCAAAATGTAGTGTTCCCTTGGTACCCTTCTGAAAGTCAAGGGTCTTCGTTTATAGGAGAAAACGTGCTAGATAGAAAATAGCAGGTAAATTAGCGAGCTTCCGCTAGGAGCGAAGACATTTCAGTAAATCACAAGATTCCGTCTTTCTTGATTTATAAATATGCCATGGTTTATAAAAGTAGCAATTGTGACATCAAGCAACTTTCATGTCTGTCTCGAAAATACAATGATGTTGGTCTGCAATAATTGTTTTTTTAAGTATCGTAGAAATCGAAATATTACATGAGTGCTTTTGGGCTCAATGAATTGTTTTCGATTTAAGAAGTCAAATCTCAAATAGGGCAGATATCCGCGGTGAACGCTAAAAATAGTCTAAAAACCGCTCAAAATGAGCCTTAATTGTCCTTTATTTACAATCAGATGGGTCTAGCGCATTTATTCATGAGCTGGTTTAATTCCCCGGCTGTTGATCGGAGATGAAAACGACAACATTTCATTCATTTCGAATGATTTGAGTTTTTGCGCAAAAGTGTTCCTCCTTGCCCAGCCGAAAACTCATTTTTACATTTGCAAAACGTTTGCAAATAATACAATTGTTGCGACTGCAGTTTAACCATTTACGGTTGGAAAAAACACTAAACGGAACTTGCAAAAGCCCAACTGGGAAAGGATGGAATTAAGCAAATGCAAGGACTCATACGATTGCAAGCAAACGGCCTATACGAAAGCAATAAAAACTGCACCTAAATAGACGCAAGTTTTCGAAAAAATTGCACACGTAACTACCGGTCAACATGGGCAACGCCACGGGTCGCTCCGCTATCTTAAATAAATACTTTATAAACCGAGATACTTACTTCTTGGAAATTAGACCTGTCCAACCTGGCATATAAAGTCACAAAGAAGGCAAGATAACGATTTATCTCTAAACCCTTAAATCGTTTCCTAACAGGTCTGTAATACAATGGCTTCACCACGCTTATTCTGGGATCACCCAACCCTTTCGTTTACATCTCTCGACCTCTCGGCCGCCAACCACTTGCTAAGTGATTCGTAATACAAAAGTCTTCCAAGAATTTTGGTTTCTTATAGTATCGCGAGAATAACCAGATGGTTCCAATGAAACTCGCTCTGAATTTGTTGTTGTGGTGTGTAAGACGAATATTTTGCTGAAGTACCTGAGTTCATTGCTTGGGGAAATCTAATCCTTCCTGGACATTTTTGTGCTCTTTGTAAAATTTCGTAACATTAACAGTTTTTGCGCAAAAGAAGTATTTATGAGTTTTACAAATTGATAATTTTTTACATTAACAAATCTTGAATTGCGTTTTTTGTAAAATCGGAAAAGTGCTCAGATGGATTTGAATGAAACGTGCAGAACTTATGAAAGCCACAATATTTTATGAAGAGCACAAAAGCCTCTAAGAAAGATTACGCATCAACTCAATAGTATTTTAAGTGGTTTCCAGTCACCAACTAAAAACTTTTTCTGTACCAAGGGAGTTTCTGTACCAATGATGAACTCAGTTGCTTCATCAGTTATGAGTTTCGCTAAGAAACAAGTTTACAGCGAGTTTAATTAAAATCCATTGAATCATTTCCCTTGTATTTAAGATAGTATAGAAGATCATGAACGCTGCTCTAAAATTCATTTTAGCAGCTTGTAAGCTGAGCCTGCACACGATCAATCCTCCATAAGATTTCATTCCAGAAATTAACTAAAAGTTCAGAAGCTTCACTTCTGGTGTCACTTGTGGTAGTGTCCTCTGCTAATTTTTCTTATAGTTCTATATAATATTACACTGGCATACATAAAAAATACATTTTTCAGAATTCATTTATAATAAAAATAAAAATTGTCCAGAATTTTTTTGTATCGCAGATCATTTGGCTCCCTTTGTGAGTAGCCTGGCAATGTTTAGAAGATATTCAAGTATAAGTTTGGCATATCGGAAAGAAGGAAGTAGTAATCAACCAAAAATAGATTATTGATAGAGATTAGCCACACATGTAATTTACAAAAACTTGAAATTAAGAAACACAGCCAAAGACGGTGAGACTCTCGACAAATTGGGTCTTGAAGGACAATCCATTGCGGGCATTTATACATGCAGGTAGTCGAATGGTTCGGTTCATCATGGACCGGACTACAGGCTAGCATTAAGGCTGGCATTTGACTAAGGGAATTAGTACACCAAAAAGAATAGTAAATTATTGTCTTTACTTAGTAAAAACTATAAAATGTTATCAACATTTTTCATTAATTGTATAGGGCGTTTGGTCCAACAATAATTTGAGTTGCTTATTGTTATTTGACCCGCAAATGTCCATTCAATACCGAATTTTCTTAAACATGTACATACAATTTTTATTTATAACTATGCAGTAAGATTATATAGTTAGTACTGCCTGCGCTGAACTTAAAATCCACTTGGTATTAGGCAAGTATTACATACTATTGAATCTATCCATATTGTGGTTATACATTTAAACGAGTTGCCTAGTGCTAAATCATGTTTTAAGCAAAATCAATTTATCCCTGGGGCTAGAAACTCAAAATTTTCATTAAGATCCATTACAATTAAGATATTACAAAACTTAGCAAACCCTTGCTTTGCAGTTATATAATAGCATTTCGATAGAATAGTAAGTAATTATTTATTAGTTTTATCCACGTGATATTAGTTGGCATCTGTAGTTAAGAAACTTTACAGAAAAACAGTTATTTACTGTTGAATCTCTGCATCTTGTAAACACATGTAAATAAGTTTGTTTAGTATCATGTTTTAAGCAAAATCAATTCACCACTCGGGCTAAAAACTGAAAATTGTCATAGGGATTCATACCACTAAGTTATTGCAAAACTTGGCGAATCGATGCTTTGCAACTATATAACAGAATTTCGAGAGAATAGTAAGCAATTATTTATTAGTTGTATCCAGCACTGCCTGCCATAACCTTAAAATTTACGTGATATTAGTTGGCATCTATAGTGAAGAGACTTTACTGAAAAACAGTTATATACTGTTGAATATCTGCATCTTGTAAATACATCTAAATGAGTTTGTTTAGTATCATGTTTTAAGCAAAATCAATTCACCACTCGGGCTGGAAACTGAAAATTGTCATAAGGATCCATACCATTAAGTTATTGCAAAACTTCGCAAATCGATGCTTTGCAATTATATAACAGAATTTCAGTAGAATAGTAAGTAATTGTATATTAGTTTTATGCAGCAGTGTCTGCTCTTAAATCTCTTAATCTCTTAGCTCAAAAGCGTTTTTTTTTACTATTATGCAGCAACGTATTTGCCAAACGTATTTCAGGCTCGAGAAATATAATATGTGGTATAAATAGAAGTAAAGAATTATAGAAATATTCTCAAGAAAAGTTAGAGCGAAAGATTAATTTTAGGTGGATTTGTCTATCTGTCTTTCTCTAACGTCTTCAAGATTACCCATACTCCTGAGATTGACGTGTAGGAAGATGAAGATAGAGATAGAAGATAAAAATAGAGAAAGATAGACAATTCTGGTACTACCCATACCAAACGGGCGCTTTATAAATTTGGCAGTTTAATTTGCACTCGTATTCGAAGCAGTTCGATAGTCGAAAAAACATGTCACAAGACATAATTCCCAGTCTGGAACCATCTTCTTTGTGGTATTTAAATACCCAACTGTTGTCCGTATTGGACAGTATTATAGATTTACCAGAGTATGATGTGTTTGTGTGTGCGTGTATATTGTCTTAACTAATGTATATGTATAATTACAGTGTAGAACGAGTGCGCCTTCGTGAGGCAGAGAGACAAGCTCGGGCGGCTCAAATGTCCGACAGTCAAGATGAGCCGACGCCCCTGTTTCAAGAGCCGCAAAGAGTAAGTAATACATTTTGTTTTTTCCAAATTTGTTAAACGTTTTCTCGTTGTTATAAAACGTTAGATTATGTCTTACTACAGCTATTATATCTATATTCTATACATCTGCTTTCAAATAAGCTCATTTCGTCCGATTTTATGTTGAATAATCACCTCATAAGATATTTGATTTAGAAAGAATTGTTTTAACCAAAACAACGTGTGGTTTGCTCCGATTTCTAAGACCCATAGAGTTTTCCCTAATATCTCTAATACTACAGTTTATTAAACTGTTGGTAAGGTAAAAGAATGCTAGCTGATGAATTTTTCCTAAATATCTTTCTTGTGACGGAGGTTACATTTTCATATACTAAAGATTTCATTTTCTTGAAATACGAAAGTTACAAATATATTCGCAACATTTCCTATAAACAAGTGATAGTTTCTTGACCGATTCACGAATAATTGAAATGTGTTTTTCCTTCGTGGGGATTCGGTCTGGGCAGTGTTGAAAAAATGAATGAATTATTTTTTAGCTACCAAGCTTTCAGCTATTTATTTTCCCGCTTTCTTCATGCTGCTAATTGTATTTCCTTTGTATTCCGCATTTACGAATTTTAAACGCCTACTGGCTGCTAAATTATAAACTATACACAGCGTCTAAATAAATCCACGGTCGAAAGTTTGTCGAAATAAAACTTATTTTGTTCAGTACATGTTTTTGGGGATTCGCTCTGGGCAGTGGTGAGAACAAGAAAAAAACACTTTTTAGCTTCGAAACTTTCGGCAATTTATTTTTCCGCCTTGTTCCGCAAGGGACTGAAAACCCTTCAGAATCTTATTTTTTTCCAATACCGTGAAACATTTCATTCTGATTCTGGAAGATTCTGGAGGGTTCCCTTAGGGAACAAGGCAAAAAAATAAATTGCCGAAAGTTTGGAATCTAAAAAGTGTTTTTTTCTTGTTCTCACCACTGCCCAGAGCGAATCCCCAAAAACATGTACTGAACAAAATAAGTTATTTTCAACAAACTCTTGACTGTGGATTTATTTAGACGCTGTGTATAGTTTATAATTTCGCAGCCAGTAAACGTTTAAAATTCGTAAATGCGGACCTGTAAACGCGTATCGGGCTTGTACTTGTAAGCTAACAAGGTTACCCAAATAGGCTGGTGTTTAACCGAATTTCAAATAAGATAAATTAACAATAGGCAAACGCCAGGCAGAAAATGTGGTTGAGGCTCCAGCTTTAAAGGAAAAATAAAATTTAATTTTTTTCTTATTATTATTTAAAATAAAAAGGAAAAATTTAATTTAAACGCAAAAACTCTGGAAATGGTTTTCACAAACTGTTTGTTGGGTATTTTGCCTCAAAAAATTTTTGCCTGAAAATTTCCTCACGTCTTTTATTACAGATTGATAAACAAAACAATCTCGCAATCAGAACGAATTATTTATCAAAAGGTAATCACCTAGAGGGTATCCTACGATACACATAGACTCAAGCTCTAAGAGAAAATTTCGATTAGTAAAATTAGTCAAAAAAACTAAATTAAAGTACTAAAACTTTTGTTTTAGCATTTTTTGGCATCACCTCAAATTAACCGTGGAAATAGCGAAAAAATTATTTTTCCGTATTTAAGTTTTTTCTTAAAGTTGGAACCTCAACAACATTTTCCACTCGGTCTTTGCCTGTTATAATTTTTTTTTCAGAAAAATTATTTGCGCCAGCTTTTAAATTGCCTCCACATGGAGCTCTTCTGGTACTTTTGTATTTTCCTATTAAGTGAAGGTTTCTTGACCGATACACCAATAATTGACAGATTTTTTCCTCCTTTGGGATTCGGTCTAGATAGTGGTGATATAAAACTGTGATATAATAGTTATAAGAAGAAAAAAAAGGGGGCACAAAACTTAACATATATTTCATAACCTTGACTGACTTTGGCAATAACGCTTCCAGCCCTGAAAGGGCCGAAATGTTTTTTCTCACCACTCCCTAGACCGAACCCTTTAGCAAGAAAAGTCTGTCAATTACTTGTATTTTCCGATATACTTATATATAACTTTTGCAAAATTTAGTACGTATCTGGAAGATGAATATGAAAATTTTATATGAAGTATTTTGTAAATTCCAAATTCCCGAAGTATTCGGAACATTTAAAAATTTACAAGAGCATTGTGTTGGGCAGGATCTTACGTATTTTTGCAATAATTTCCTCTTATTACTTTACTATTTCAATATGGCATTGATGAGGTTTGAATTTGTAATTGGCCGCTTACAGCATTTCATGTCTAAGAAGGTCTGCGACTGTTTTAAAAATGGTTCAACTGATTTGCTTATAATTTTATAATACATGTTCTAACCATTTTTCGTTAAAACTGATGGGATTATGCGCTACTCTTGATGTCATAATGTTGAACGCTGGATTAATCAATGATAACCCTCTAGTTTGTGATAGCAACTGTTTGTGGTTTTACATCAGCTATTTGCTTTCTATTTCTATATTAATTATAAATAATGGCCCTGCTTTTGAACTGGCACTTTGTGCATTTGCATCTTCGATGCTAGATCAACTTCAAACATCTAGCATTGCCATTTTGCAAGAAATAATTCAAATCAAATTCATTCCCTGCTTCTTTTATTGTTATAATATCTTGTATTGTTTTATAAATAGTCAGTAAGCAAACACTGGCAGTATTTAAACGTTGCATTGAACACAGAACCTTGACTCTCGACTAGGAATCCATATTATTAAGCAGCATGAAAAAACACACGTTTTAGATTTAATAAGACCATAATGCATTTGTCAAGCGACTAATTAGCATTCGCAGTGAAGTAGTGGCATTGGCATGGTTTGCGGCGTTTTAGCGTTTATTGCCAACGATCTTCCATCGTTTGTTGGTGCCCGGTTTTACCTTGGAGGAACGCGATCGGTTCGCCTTTTTCTCATATTCAGCCACGTTTATAAAGCTACACGGATGTCGATTCGCGTTTATTTGATGAAGTTTGCAGTATCCGAATTGAAAATTGTTTTATTTTCGGCTCGAAGTCTGGGATATCCCTAATTAGAGGATATGCGCGGAAGTTTCAGCTGCATATTACTAAGTTGTTGTAATGAACTTCACCCAGATCCGCGAGTTATATTATTAAATTCACCGCTTTACGCGTATCTGTACTGAACAGTAGATTCAAGCTATTTCCTGGTTTTAATTCGTACGTGCAATATTCCAGGCGACTGACATTGTTCTTCCTCAACAAGCACATTCGTTGATATTCGGAAACTAATCCAGTATAATTTGTTTTGAAGCTTAATTTTTAAAACTCTCCCACGGCCTTTATGTGTTTTCTTGTATTAAACGAGCATTGGATATTAGGCAATTTGTTCTATTGGAAATTTCCAACCATTTAAGAATCCGCGGGGGGCAATGGTCAAATGCGACTGTCTCGGAAATAATCTTATCTCGTCTATAAAGCAAGATCCTAAAATTCCAAGCTGTATCCAAAGCAGAAGTAATTAAAATATTATCAGTAAATTTTGCTAGCTAAAGGGAGGTTTTCAAGCCCAGCTTAACGTAGAAATATGTTATCATTTGCTGGTTGGTTTTGGTTGATTTTGTGGGATTTTGCATTCATTCATACGGTATGAGAGACCCGAAGGCAAATTTATGTTTGAAGGACGCAAGAGTTTCTACTTTTTGTTAAGGTACGATCCAGACAGAGACAGAGACAGAGTCTCTTTGGAAATTTACCAGTTTGAATGTGAAATTGTCTTCCAACTTTCTCTGTGATAGTTGATTTGAAAATTGAAATGTTTACGGAAACACTTATCCTTTGCTAATTCCTCTGGTTGCATTTTGAAGCATTTAACTCGAGCTGTGTTCTTTACAATCTGGGTCATCGTTTTTTTTCCAGGTCGGCGATAGCTGACAAATTTTCACTAATTAGTATTTTGAGCCATCAATTTTTTTAAAGTCCAATCCATCCAATTATATACACTGAAAAGATGCCAGGGTAATTCCTGGTGGTTGCGACAACAAAAGCGACTGTATAATGTATGCAAGCCAGTGCGCTGTATCGCTAATTTCTCTGTTTTAATAATTTGATAAATGGCCTGCATTTCTTAATTATTATTCCATTCTGGCAAAAAGCACAAAAGGTTTCTATCGTTGGTGCACACGAGAGTTCATTCTCCTGTTCGGTCCTCGTTTGGCAAGGTTTCGCATTGCAACACGTAATTTCCAAAAAACCGGTAAATTTGCCATTGAGTTTTATCCTTTTTGTGGAGTTTGTTCATTCAAATTCAGGGGTTAATAATTGAGTAAAAATGATGCAATAACTGAATTAATTAATACTATTGTTGCTTGTCTTCATTTATCTTGTCTATTATTCAAGTGTTTATGGGAAATATCAACAATTTCAATTTTTTTCTCAATGACATTCTTCTCAAAAACAAAAAAATAATCTGCATTAAGAAACGCGAAAGAATTCAATAAAGTAACTGTTATTGCTCTTAATCGTCAAATTGCTTTTCAGTCGTTGGCTTTTTAGTTGCAAACTGTATGGCAAGAGACCGGAACTTTGAACTCCTGCTAATAACTTCGAACTCCATCCAATCAATTGGCCGAAAACTCCTTTCGCATTGGAGTTGATACGTGACGTTGTGCATGAATTCCGACCGAATTCGACGACGGCCTTTCTCGATTTTATCGCCGCGACTAAAGTCTCTTTCTGTTTCTCTTTTTGTTTCTCGTCGCTGTTTATTGCTCCTTCTCTTCGTCTTCTTTTATTTGGTTGCATTATTAGTTGGTGCTTCTTGCAAATAAACTCGTTGGTCATCGGTTAGCGAAATGGCAGAAAACCCTATTTACCAATTGATCCAGCTCAGTGGCGAATCGCAGACCCTGCAGGCTCCGCCACACACATTACAATAATTTCTATTTCATCGTCACGACTCTAAAATCTGAATTCACTTTAATAATAACTTAATAACAGTTTACAATTATGTAAATGTAATAAAT